ATACCGCAACAATCTCCCCGACGCTACCTGTGAGTTTTTCGCCTCTCGCGGCGAGTGCACTGGCAACATCAAGGACACGGTGCGGCCCTTGTGTGCCAAGTCGTGCGGCCTCTACCAGTTCAAATACAACGCGCCAGCTTCTACAGCGGACACCTGGGCGCCGGGGGGCGGGGCCTCTGTCAACCAACTCCAAGGGAAACCTGTCGCCTCCACATGGGGCACGCCCTCGACTGACGTCATGACTCTGAACAATGGAGGAGGAGCGGGAGGAGGGGGAGGAGGAGGAGCTGGTGGTGGGGGCGGAGCCGGTGCTGGTGGCAATAACGTTATCAATGACGTCATTCTAGACTCCCTCCTCCCAACTGTTGCAGGGCAAAGGACGTCTTCTATACAAGCGAGGGGAGGTTATCAGCCTGAGCCGTCCTATCTACCCGTTCGTGAGCCCCCTCCTAGTGCTCGGATGGTCAACACAGCCTCACAGACTGCCCAGCAAGACACGGGCATGCCTTCCTCTCCCGTCATCAACTTTAGAGCGGCTCTGCTACAGAGGCAAGCGGCTCTCAGCTCGTCAGAACCTACGCTGTACCGACGCGCTCTAGTAATGAGCCGCTCCTCAAACGGTCGAACAGCTAGACTGCTCCTACCTACACATCTAAACAGTCGAAGTCTGCAGAGAAATCGCGCCCTTTTTTCTCAACGTCTCAACTTGCTTCAGCGAGACAACGCGAGAGGTTCAGCTTCCAGATTAGCCAGTGCCGGTCTAGGGCCGTTTGGCGGTCTGACGTCATGGCTAGCGAGGTCGGGGGGCCAACAAGCATTGTCTAGACAGTCCGCCCAGACATTGAGACCTTCTGCTGCTAGCATGAAGACACGTCGACCCTCTCGGCAAATGCAAGGCCTCTACGAGTTGTCCAACTTTGGCGCGTCGAGGTCTAGCTTGAAAAATCTAGGCGGGGATAACTGGCAGACAGGTGGCTATCCGGGAAGAGGAGACGGAGGGTTAGGGTTCGGAGCTCTTCCCAGCACTAGCGGCCGAATGAACCGTTATCAACAGAATAAACGAGTACGTCAAGGTCCGCCTGACTACGGGGCGGCGGATATGTGGGGGAAGGCGCGAGGTCCGAGTCTGAGGGGACAGAACATCCCCGCCACCCTAGAGGTGGACAGAGTCCAGGGCCCACTACCCCTCGCAGACTTCACAGGCCCGGAGTTCGGACAGACGGAGGGCACCGCCTCTCAGACGGCCACCACAAAAACAGACTTCGCCGGTCCCGACACGGTGGGAGGATCCGGGCAAAGTTTGCAGACCACAGGCCCTTCCTTCATGAAGTCAGGTCGCATCCCTCAGAACTTCCTGCTGGGAGAGCAGACCCGGCCTTTGGGCAGCCCTGTGGAACAATCACTCCCCAGCAGGTGGGAGCAGCAACAACAGAACCAGAACATTCCCATCTCCGACCTACAGGGAGCCCCGACTCCAACCGGACCCTCCACCGTCAGCTTTGACGCAGCAGCGAGCGGCCCACAAAGTTTCGAACCCACGCTGTCCGCACAAGGAGCCCAGCAGCAGCTTCCGGGTCAACAGCCAGGTCTGTGGGACGCTCTGACGTCAGGGGTCAGCGACACGACGGGTGCTGGAGTCACGGGAGGTCAACAAGGAGGGGGAGGTGGAGGCGGTGCCCCTGGTTACGGCAACAGCGAACCGTTTATAGACACGCTGAGCTTCAACAACCAGCCTGGAGTGCCTATAGATCACGTGGCGCTCTCGGACGCAGCAGCGAGCAGTAACGTTCCGTATCTACCTCACAACAACAACAATAACAACAACAACAACAACAACAACAACCGCAACCGCAACAACCACGCCATTGTGATGGGCCGCCACGGCGTGAGCGGTTTCACCAACAGAAATGTCCAGTCCTCACACCACACTCTACAGCAGAGACAGCCGTCGGGGTCTTCTCCTACACTATTCCAAAGACTCAACATGCATCGCTCGTTCACCGACCCTAAACCAGACACGGCTATAGACGCCACAGCGGCGATAAGTCCGCTAAGAAGTGACAATACAACACCTTTGAATACTTCATCCTTACCCCCACTGCCTGTACCGCCAGTCCCAGGGCCGCCACCACCCTCCCCTCTACCCCGCGGGTCCCCTAGCGCTCTCTTCCTTCCTTCTATGACAGTAGACACCAACACAGGAGTTGCTCCAAGAGAGCGACCAGCGGCAGCTGCAGCAGCAGCGAAAGCTGTGGTCAACGACCAGCTCGGCTTGACCAGTGAGTTCATCACAAACGCACAAGGTAGTGCCGGACCCTCGTATTCCCCCGCTAGGTCCGGCCCAGTTTTCGGCTTTGGCCAGCGGTACACAATGTTCTCAAACCCCAGACAGTCTTGGAACGGGGGACCTTTGGATGCGTCGTTTTCTTCTTCCTCATCTTCGTCGTCGTCAATATTTACATTCCCGTCCGTTTTTAAAACGGATAACAGGACCTTGGCTGTTCCCAGCCCAAAGCGATAACAACAAAACAAATTAAGTAACACAAATAGTTACTAAAACCATTGGGGAACTGTTGCAAGTTCAAGGCGAAATCGGGGGAGGCTTGACGGGACAACTTTTGAGTGACAACGGCTGGTGAGGTCTATTATTACGCACATAGCTGTCATTCAGTAGGTCGGAGTCAGGGGGCATGCTGACGCTTGGACCTTTTCGTGCTTTTCGATGTTCTAGAACTTTCAAGATACATGTAGAAGTTGACGCCCTGATGATGTACGAGGCACATTGCGTCGTTTTCAGCTTTTATTTGAGTAGTAGTTCGTGTACGTCCCGAAACCGAAAGGGGCCAAGTTTGTTGTGTTTAGCTGTAATAAACTGTTTTGAACCCTTTTCAGTCTTCTCGGGAAGTGGATGGTTAGAGGGCGCTACCGGTACAGGGTAGGTTTTTATTTAAATTACTAAATTCCTTTCATTTCCTTCTGTTGTGCGTCTTGCTCTTCCCTAGAGCTAACAGCTGTTGTGGCGGTGTCGGTGGTATGTCGAATGGTTAGGTTACCAATACCAGACTCGAAATCGAGGATGGTGGGCGGGTGCTCTGGTGTGGTTTGCTCCTTCTTTCCTATCAAACAAACTCTGCCTGTCAGGGCCAATTCAGGCTGAAAGCCATACATACAGCAACCCGGCCCACAGATGGGGATACTCGATTTTAACCTTTAAAAAAAAAGGGGGGGGGGGAATCTCCCTCACGCGGGAATCGAACTCGTTTCCGGAGGCTACATTGACATTAGATATTCCTCTGAGAGAAGTGCCATGGAGTCAGTCTCCGAAAAGACATTAGTATTTAAGAGTATCCGATAGTGCGTCAAAACCACCGTTTCAATCAGTTTTAAGGCACTTCAATTCAATCAAATACATTTAGTGAACCCGATACAATGCTGGCCCCATCGAAGTCACAAGATTTTCGTTTTGCCCACTCAAAAATTTTTTAAAAAATAATAATAATAAAGACTAGAGAAAGTAGGCCAGCAGTCTCATCATTTTTAAAGTACATGTTTTCAACGAGCAAGCTGTTAGGAGAGGGTGAGAGGGAAAAGAGAAAGACAGAGAGGGGAAGAAGACGTCAAAGACAAAGAGAAAGCGAGAGAGTGGAAAAGTGAGAAAGAGAGAGTCAGGTTTATAGTATATATATATATATATATATAT